ATATTCAAAAGGCACAATGACACATAATCCTGACATTACACTGTTCAGTATCAAGAATACTTAAGCAATTCATTGTGTAAGAAAACACATAAGCATTCAAACTTTCAAAGAAACATACATAAGCATTTAGATTTGCAATAAAAATACATAAGCATTTTAAGTTTACAATGACAAAAACCTTACGTAGTCTTTTAAATATTTCAGTGGGCCTTTGGCCCATTCCGAATGTCTCGGAGCTGCTGCTAGCTTCCAATCTGCAAGCTTGTCTGACAGGCTCAGCAGACCGGGGCTGTGTGACCCATCTGACATGGGTAGAGCCGATTCATGAAGGCTGGCCTGCTCTGGTAGACCCAAGCCTGTGTCCATTTCCCTTTGGCTGGCCTGTTCTGGTAGGCCTGAGCCAGAGTTCCGTGGTGGAGTAGAATCCACTGGATCAGCATGAAAAACCAATTGAGAACACTGCCTTGTGAGCGCAGTGCCTTAGGTAGGAGCGGCATGAAAAACCGATTGAGAGCAATGTCCCATGGGCACAGTGCCTGAGATAGGAGCAGTCTCGTTGGCAAAAACCCTGTTCGGCAATTGCAAGGTCCCAGTTTCGCTGAGAGACTCAGATGCATGATCGCAATCATGTTCCTCCTCCACCCCTAGAGCAGAGCCAGGAGTGGAAGAGTGGTGTGGTAACCTCCAGTGCAGCTGGTCAATGTGCCTAGGGAGCACATGACCATCTTCCAGGGCCACTTCATATGAGAGCGGCCCTGACACCTTGCCAACCATAGCTACCACCCACAGTGCCCCCTGTCCATAGTTGCACACCCAAACCAGATCACCCACTTACAAGTGCCTCAGTGCCTTAGGCTGGGGCACTTGTGAAGCAACACTGTCTGGATGTAAGCGATCCAGCTTTGTGATCAGACGGCGCCCCCATCTTAATTCAGCTGGGCTCTTGCCTGTAGAAGTGCAGGGCGTTGTGCATTGGCAGAGTAGGATATCTGCCAACCTGTGGTGCCAATTGCCATTGATGATCGTTTTCAAGGATTCCTTGGTCTGTTGTGATTCCGTGCCAGCCTGTGCTTACAACAGCTGAGTCTGAGGAATCTGAGGAGGAGGTGGAGGAGGCATTTGAAGGGCCATCAGGGGCAGAGGGAGGCTCTGATGAATTACAGGACTTACAGTTTGATGCAGAGCCTGGACCCTCCAGTCATGTTTCTGATGAAGCTCAGCTGTGTGAGGAGAATGAGTCAGACTCAGAAGAATCACATTTGATGAACTTGCTAATTGATGCACGCTCCCGTCATCAATTAGCAAGAGTAAATCAGCAGCAGTCAATGTGACTACTCCAAGGAAAAAGGAGAAGGCACTGAGAGGCAATGCCTTGGGACTGCTGTATAAAGAGAGGAGGTATGGGCGGTGCTGGTTGCTGAAGGCAACCATTTGCAAAGTGCTTCTTGGAATCCTGGTCTGTTCGTCTTGCTTGTGACTTCTCTGTTCGTCTTGCTTGTGACTTCTCGTCTGTTTGTATCGTGTTTCCTTTGGACTTGAGTTTTGCTGTTTTTGTTTTGGACTATTTGACAGGTTTGTCAACCATATTAAAAGAGTTTTGTTTTGTTGCAAAGTCTCCAGCATATTGCATCAGCAGGAGTTTGGTCCTTGTGCCTTTAACAAGGATGGCAATAGGCTGGGATAGAACAGTTTGCCTTCAGCCTCACCCCCTACTATCATGGAGCAACTCCGTGCTGAGAATGCCCAGCTCACCCAGCAGCTGGCTTTGTTATCTGCTCAAGTTGCTCAGCTATCTGCCCAGGTTACTGCTGCTCCACCACCACCCAGGAGAAAATGCCAAGTGGCGAGGCCGGACAAATTTGATGGCAACCCGGACATGTTTCCTGTGTCATGGGACAATGCCACTTGTACATTAGTGTCAAAGCAGAGGATTTCCCCACTGACCGGGATAAAGTGGGGTTTGTGATAAGCCTGCTTTCTGGTTCTGCAGCTCGTTGGGGCACACTCTTGTTAGCCCAATGTAGCCCATTGCTGGACAACTTTGTGGGGTTTTGTGATTGATGTATGAGGACCCCATGAAGACTCAGACTTCTACCCGGCATTTGAAAGCCCTGAGGCAAGGCCGACGCCCCCTGCAGGGCTATATCAGTGAATTTCGGCTGCTTAGCCAGGATTCAGCCTGGAATGAGGCTGCGCTCATGGACGCTTTCCAGGCTGGCTTGTCGGAGGAGATGTTAGATGAGTTGGCCCGTGTTGAGCTTCCCACAGACCTTAATGGGCTCATTCATCTCTACCTGCAGATCAATGCCCGGCTGCAGCAGCGAAGGAGTCGCTGTGCTACCCCAGAGATCCGTAAGCCCCCCATTTGAGTGCGACCCCAGTCCAGAGGGAGCAGCCAATGGATTTAGGTGCTGCCAGACCTCATCTATCAGTGGCAGAGATGAACAGGCGATGTTTGGGGGGGTTGTGTTTTTATTGTGGGGACCCTGGACATTTGGCTGCTTTCAGCCCCAAGAAGCGATGAGGGGCATCTGTGACGGAGCTGGTCCCGAGACTGCCCTCGGCTTTGCTGTTGGGAAATGGGCCATGCCCGACCTAAAAGGCCTTTTGGGTCAGGCGTCCTGCAACTCTGAATCACGTCCCTCCGATGCTGCCCATGGACCCCCAAAACATCTGATCTTGGAGGCACGCCTGCTTCTTCCTATGTTGCCCAAGGGGATTCCTGTCCATGCATTGATTGATTCTGGGGCCACTACGAACTTTATGGATGCAGCATTTGTGGCTAAATGGATGATTCCCCAATGCCCAGTGGATCCACCAATGTTAGTGGAGACCATTGATGGTCGAGTGTTTCTGTCTGGGCCAATTAAGGCTGCCACACAACCGCTATGTATGGCCATCAATAATCATGAGGAGGCCATTCAGTTTTATAACACCTCAGACCTGCATTTTCCCGTGGTCTTGGGAATGGCGTGGCTCTGGGCGCATGACCCCCAGATCTATTGGTCTCAGAACTTGGTCACCTTTCCAAGCCTGCAGTGTGTGGACCACATCCGCCACATCTGTGACAGTCAGGTAGAGGGGCCCACGGGGGTCTCCTTACCCTCTGAATTGGCAAAGTATGCTAATGTGTTCAACGAGACTGAGGCAGATTGATTACCCCTGCAGAGGCCTTATGACTGCCCCATTGACTTAGTCTCTAACGCACCTCTCCCAGTGGGACATTTGTGTTCCATATCGGACCCCAAGTTGGCTGCATTAAGGGACTTTTTGGACAAGAATTTGGCTCAGGGGTTTATTTGTCCCTTGTCCTCACCAGTATCTGCACCCATACTCTTCATCAAGAAGAAGTCCGGTGAATTGCGGCTTTGCTGCGATTATCGGAAATTAAATGCCATCACAGTGCGCAACCGATACCCACTGCCCCTCATCCCCAAACTCTTGGATCGGCTCCGTGAGGCCAAAATCTTCACAAAACTGGACTTGCGCAGAGCTCACAACCTTGTCAGAGTTCGGTCGGGTGATGAGTGGAAGACGGCATTTGGTACTCGGTATGGGCACTTCGAATACATGGTTATGCCCTTTGGCCTGACCAACACCCCTGCTGTTTTCCAACACTTTATGAATGACATTTTCCGGGACTTGCTAGATCAGTTTGTGGTGATTTACCTGGATGACATCCTGATCTATTCCCCATTGCGAGAGAAGCACCATCGGCATCTCCATCAGGTCTTGCAGCGGCTTTGAGAACATCAGCTATATGCTAAATTAGAGAAATGCCAGTTCTACCAGATGACTATTGAGTTCCTGAGTCACCGCATTTCTCCTGAGGGCATCGCCATGGACCCGAGTAAGGTGGAGTCTTTGCAGAGTTGGCAACCACCACATCGTGTGAAGGATGTCCAGTGATTTCTTGGGTTCGCCAACTATTATCGGACTTTCATCCCCGGATTTGCTACCATGACAGCTCCCCTTACTCGGCTCCTGCAGAAAAAGACTCGGTTTCAGTGGGACGCTCCAGAACAATGGGCTTTCCAGGCTTTGAAGGAAGCCTTCATAAAGGAGCCCATCCTGAAGCATCCTGACCCGCAACAGCCATTTGTCGTGGAGACGGATGTCTCCGACATTGCCATTGGGGCGGTGTTACTCCAGACCACATGTCGGCAACCTGCGGCTCCGGAGCCACATGCGGCTCTTTGAGCCTTCCCCTGCAGCTCCCAGCCTCCTCTGCCTTTGCAGAGAGAGACAGAGACAGAGAGAGGAATTGCGCTTCCCTGCTTCTCTCTCTCTCTCTCTCTCTCTCTCTCTCTCTCTCTCTCTCTCTCTCTCTCTCTGTGTGTGTTTGTGTGTGTGTGTGTGTGTATAAAAAAAAGAGAGTGCACTCACAGTGTTCTCCAAGGAGCTGAAAAGCTTTCTGGACGGAGCTCCTCCCTTTGCTGCGTCTCTGCAGAAAGCAGGAAGCAGGAAGGGCAGGAGAGAGCTAGCTAGCCCAGCTAGGCTGACTCAGGAATTCTGGGAGTTGAAGTCCATGAGTCATAAAAGAGACGAGGTTGACTACCCCTGATCTTGTTGGACAACAGCCTGAAGCTTGTCAGGTGAGCAGCAGATAGGAGAGGGGGGGGAGAGAGAGAGAGAAAGAAAGAGAGCGGGGAAGAGGAGTGACAGACCAAGGGCAGATAGAGAGGGAGAGAGAGAGAGACCCTTTTGACATCTAAAATGAAGATAACACTGCATATATCCTTTTTTTTTACCTGTGTGTGTATGTGTGTGTGTGTGTATATATATATACATACATACATATACATATATATATACACACACACACACACACACACACAAACACACACACACCTATAATAAAGGTAAAAAAGGATATATGCAGTGTTATCTTCATTTTAGATATCAAAATGGTTTTGCGGCTCCCAGTGTTTTGTTTTTGGTGGGAAACGGGTCCAAGTGGCTCTTTAAGTGTTTTGGGTTGCCTACCCCTGGTCCAGGCGATGACGCCCGGTGGTGCCCTCTTCCCTTGCGCATACTATTCACGGAAATTGAATCCGGCGGAGCGCAACTATACCATCCGGGAGAAGGAGCTATTCGTCATTAAAGTGGCATTCGAGACCTGGAGGCATCATCTGGAAGGGGGCGGCATCAAATCAAGGTCCGGACGGACCATAAGAATTTAGAAAGCCTGCAGACCGCTTGGAAAAACCAACGCCAGATCCGATGGTCTCTCTTCTTTGCAAGGTTCAATTTCCGGGTGACGTATATACCGAGCGGTCACAATTAAAGAGCGGATGCTCTGTCCAGGAAGCCTGAATATTCCCGAGCAGAAGACAAGCTTCTGCCCAGGACAGTGCTCCCTATTGAGTCTTTTGCTGCGGTGAGGGAGCCAATAGATGTACGGGCTTGGATTCAGGAGGCCCAGCAGCAGGATGGGTGGGTGGCTCAGCGAAAGGAGGAGGTGGGGCCCAATTCACCATGGACAGTTGTGGATGGACTCCTCCACTATCGTGATCGGCTCTATGTGCCTGGAGGCCCGCTCAGAGGACTCATCCTCAGCCAGTGTCATGATAATCCAGCAGCGGGGCATTTTGGCCTGTTCAAGACCCTGAATTTGGTATCCCGTACCTTCTGGTGACCCCGAATCCAACATGACATTCAGACCTACGTCTCATCGTGTATATCCTGTAGGCAAGCCAAGTCAGCGACAGGGGCCCCACCCGGACTACTGCAACCCTTGTTGACACCCAAAAGACCCTGGGGGGTGGTATCCATGGATTTTTTGATGGATTAACCTCCATCTTCTGGATTCACAGTGGTGTTCGTGGTGGTGGACATGTTGACCAAGATGGCGCATTTCATTCCATGCCGTGGCTTATCGTCTGCCCGTACCACCGCTCTCATGTTCATCCAGCAGGTGTTTCATCTGCATGGTCTTCCTGAAAAGGTTGTGTCCAATAGAGGGGCCCAGTTCACAGCCCGTTTCTGGCAGGAGTTGATGCAAGCATTGGATATCAAGATCTGCCTCTCGTCCTCAAACCGACGGAGGGACCGAGAAGGTCATTGGAATCCGGGAGCAATATCTGCGCTGCTATGTCAATCAGCAGCAGAACAATTGGGTAGACTATCTGGCAGTGGTTGAGTTTGCATTCAATAACTCCCAGCACACCTCCACGCAGATGACACCGTTCTTAGCCAATGTGGGCTATAACCCTCGTTTTTTCCCTAGTTCTCCAATAGATGTAATGGAACCACCAGCAAATGACTACCCGGCAGAGTTACAGGCGATCCATCGATTGGTGCAACGACAGTTGGAAAAGGCCAAGGCTGACTACAAATGGTTTGCTGATCGGTCAAGGCGGGATACGCCTCCACTATTGGTGGGAGATCGGGTATGGCTGTCCACTAGGAACCTACCGTCAACCCAGCCAACCAAGAAATTAGACCACCAATATGTCGGACCATTCCCAATCGAGGCTGTCATCAATCCGGTCGCCTATTGCTTAACTCTGCCACGTTCCATGCGGGTACATCCGGTCTTTCACCGTTCTCTGTTGGTCCCTGAGCAACCGGTGTGTCCACTCCGCCGAGCCGAACCGCCCCCACCAGAACAACATGACGGAGACAGTGCCCCTGAGTACGAGGTTGCCAGCATTCGGGACTCCCATTGGGTGAAAGGACGCTTCCAGTACCTGATTGAATGGAAAGGCTACGGACCGGAGGAGTTCACCTGGGAGGATGCATCTACCATTCATGCTCCTGCCTTGGTGACCGCCTTTCATGAACAATTCCCATCCTGACCGCATCCAGATCGGCAGACCCGGGGGAAGGGCCCTGCGGTGCGGGATAGTGTTGTGATTCCGTGCCAGCCTGTGCTCACAACAGCTGAGTCTGAGGAATCTGAGGAGGAGGTGGAGGAGGCATTTGAAGGGCCATCAGGGGCAGAGGGAGGCTCTGATGAATTACAGGACTCACAGTTTGATGCAGAGCCTGGGCCCTCCAGTAGTGTTTCTGATGAAGCTCAGCTGTGCGAGGAGAACGAGTCAGACTCAGAAGAATCACATCTGATGGACTTGCTAATTGATGCACGTTCCCGTCGTCAATTAGCAAGAGTAAATCAGCAGCAGTCAATGCGACTACTCCAGGGAAAAAGGAGAAGGCACTGAGAGGCAACACCTTGGGACTGCTGTATAAAGAGAGGAGGTCTGGGCGGTGCTGGTTGCTGAGGGCAACCGTTTGCAAAGTACTTCTTGGAATCCTGGTCTGTTCGTCTTGCTTGTGACTTCTCTGTTTGTCTTGCTTGTGACTTCTCGTATGTTTGTATCATGTTTCCTTTGGACTTGAGTTTTGCTGTTTGTGTTTTGGACTATTTGACAGTTTGTCAATCATATTAAAAGAATTTTGTTTTGTTGCAAAGTCTCCAGCCTATTGCATCAGCAGGGGTTTGTGCCTTTAACAAGGATGGCAATAGGCTGGTATAGAACATGGTCGTTCTGACCATGTGTTCTGCTTGGCCGTTAGAGGCTGGATGAAAAGGAACCAAAGTGGCATGCCTAATCATATTCACCCTTAAGAAGGACTGAAACTCTGCAAAAGTAAATTGAGCCCTATTGTCTGAAACTATGACATCTGGGGGCCCATGCATTGCAAAGATGCTGTGCAGAACCTGGATGGTCCTGGCAGTAGTCATAGTGGACAGTGAAATGACATCTAGCCACTTGGAGTGACTGTCCACAACAATGAGGAAGAGTTGCCCCTGAAAGGGGCCAGCAAAATCAATATGAATCCTCAACCAAAGGGCTTGTGTAGTCTCCCATCTATGTACAGGAGCATGTGGCATTTCTGGCCTTGACTGCTGGCAAATGAGGCACCTGTGGTCCTGGGCCTCGATATCTTTATCAAGCCCAGGCCACCAAAAGTAGTTACGTGCAAGTGCTTTCATCCGGACTATTCCCGGATGTCCCTCATGCAGAGAATCAAGGATTCTAGTCCTCAGTGAGGTCAGGATTACTACCCTACTGCCCCACAGGATACAACCCTTATAGTTAAATAACTTCTCCAGAAACTCTGAAAATTAGGGCCAGGACACATTTCTGGCCATCCTGTGAGCACACAGTTCAACACGCCGCTCATCATGTTGTCTGCAACTGTTTCAGCAGCAACATACCCTGCATTAAGGGAAGACTCTGGCAAATCCTGTATAGCCAAGATGTGGTTAGCTGGAGCAGGATCTGATTCTAATAGCTGTAGAGGCAACCTACTAAGGCCATCTGTGTGGCCCATTTCTTTATCCGGTTTGTGAGCCAGACAATAATCATAAGCAGATAAGAATATTGACCACCTCAACATTCTAGGAGAGATAATCTGGGGTCTTTGCTTGTTCATAGTGAACAACCCCAGAAGCGGCTTATGGTCAGTGAAGACCATGAAGTGGCAGCCATATAAAAAGTCATGAAACTTTTTTATGCCTGCCACAATGGCCAATGCTTCCCTATCTATTTGTGTGTAATTGGGTTCTGCAGCAGAAAGGGTCCTGGAGTAATAGGCTATATGGACTTCTGTCCCATCAGCACTGAGATGACTTAACACAGCTCCGATCCCATACAGGGATGCATTACACATGATGCTGACTGGCAACTTCTCATTGAAATGAGCCAACACCGCATTTGATGACAACAACCCTTTAACTGCAGCAAAACTCCTCTCATGGACACTCGTCCACTTCCATGGGGTCTTCTTTTCCAAGAGCCGGTCTAACGGTTCTGCTACTGTGGCCTTGTGGGGGAGGAAAGCATGATAGAAATTAAGGAGTCCCAGGAAGGCCTGAACTTCTTCCTTCGACTTGGGACTGGGTGCCTGCTGAATTGCTTTGAGCTTGGATTCAGCAGGATGAATGCCTTCAGCATCTATATGAAACTCCAGGAATTCTGTGGAAGTGACTCCAATTTTGCATTTCTCCTGTTTGAGCTTCAGCCCTGCTTCGTGAAAACATCACAAAATGGCCTGGAGCCTGTCAGCGAGGTTTTTGACTGATTCCCCAGCTATGAGGACATCATCGAAATATGGGCATACACTTGGAATGTTGAGAAGCATGTGCTCCATTACGCTCTGAAAAATGCCAGGGGCTACATTAACCCTGAACTGTAACCTTTGCACCTTGAAGGCTCCCTGGTGGGTTACAATGGTTTGGGCCTCAGCCGTGGCATTGTCCACTGGCAGCTGCTGATAGGCCTGGGCCAAATCTAATTTGGTGAAAATACGACCTCCCTGTAGAGATGCCAAAATGTGGCTGACTACAGGCACTGGATAGGAGTGCTGCTAGAGAGCTTTGTTTAACGTGCATTTATAGTCGGCACAAATGCAGACTTCTCCATTGGCCTTAAGTGGCATGACAATGGGAGTTTCCCATGGACTGCTATCTATCAGCTCTAAAATGCCTTGTTGCAACAGCTTGTCCAGCTCTTCATTGATTCTCTGCTTTAGGGCAAAAGGCACCTGACAAGGCTTAATCCTTATTGGTGCTATTGAAGGATCTAACTGTAGTGCAATTGGAGGCCCTTTGTATGCCCCTAACTCTGAGCTGAAGACATCAGCAAACTCTTTACACACCCCTGAGAGGCTTGACATTTGTAAGCTATTTAACCCAGTCACTTGAATTCCCAAAGCATCAAACCGATTGAGTCCAATTAGGCTAGTGCAGTTGCCCTCAACAACAACGACTTCCAAGGGACCCTCAAAATTCCTGAACCGCACCCCGAATGTGGCCTCCCCCTTGACATTTACAAGGTTCAATGGTCTGAGCTTAACTTGTTTGCTGCTTCGATTACAAATCTGCTGAAGTGTCCTTTGGAAGATTATCGATAGAGCTGAACCCGTATCCAACTCCATGTCAGAAGGAACCCCTTGCAACTTGACTTTAAGGTGTAACTTCTCCTTGAGTGGGCGATGGGCATCTGTTCTAAACATGCACAAAAACCTACCCTGTTTTGACTGGGCACCCCGGTACCTTTCCGAGGCAACTCTTCTGATAAATGTTCTTTCCTGCGACCCAAACAAATGGCAGCAATGTGGCCTTGCTTGCCACAGGCCTGGCATGTTGCTGTGTGGAACCGGCAGTCATCCCATTTGTGATGGCCTCCACACCCGATACAACGAGAGAAAGAAACTGCCTTGTCAGGTTGCCATTGAGGCCTTCTTTCTGGAGGTTGCTGCAACTGATTGACTTCGTGGTCTGGTTCAGAGTCTTCAAGTCTCTCAGCATCCTCTTGGTGGACGGCCTTCATTCAAGGAGGGTCCTTGGAGAGCCGCAAGGCCTTAACAGCTCAATCTGCTGCTTCTTTGGCCGTTATCTCCCTCAACACATCTTGAAAAGAAATAGTCTCTTTAGCAAAGACCTTCTGTTGCATTTCTCGGCTCCTCAGACCACAAACCAAGCGGTGATGCAGTCTTTCTTCAAGATCTTTGAATTTGCATTGCCATGCTGCTTGGCAAAGAGCGGCAATGAAGTCAGCGGTGGACTCGCCAGGATGCTGGTCTCACTGTTCAAAGGCGTGCCGCCAAGCAATGACCAAAAGCTTGGGCTCAAAATGTTCTTTGAGCATCTTCTTAAGTTCTGCATATGCAATGGACTCAATCAGCGCTGGTGCAACCAAGTTCTCTGTGATGTCGAATGTTGCTTGACCGCAAACACACAGCAGCATCATGGCATTCAATCCGTCGTCTCAAACTTGGTTAGGTAGGTAGTTTTCAACCCTCGTGACATAGGACCTCCACCTCTCTGGATGAGCGACGTTGAATTCTGAGAGTTTTCCTATCTTTGCCATGGTGAGTTTTTTCCCGGCCTTTTCAATGCCTAGTGCTGCGCAGGCTTCCATGCGACTTCCAGGGTGGATCCTTGGAAGCACTCTCCTCCAGCGTTTCCGTACTGGCAGGATAGAGTGAGAGGGAGTAGAACACTGTTCCGACCAAGCGCTTGCTAGGCCTTTCCCCCATAATGACTCAGCTCTTCAAATTGGGCAGCACAATCCCACCTTCATTGCCAATGTTCTGTTTTCTGCTTGGTTCAGCATTGAAGAGGCAGTAATAGAAACAATTACTTCTTTATTGAAGGTCAAAACAGAAACTAACAAGCATTTCTCTGCCCCTATTTATACATTCAGCTCTGGGTGGCGTCAGCTAATGAGAGCGCAGTATTCTCCCACTCAGATGCATAATAAACAGTCTTGTAGACAGCAAGTCTGGCTGGCAGGCCACATGGTCTGCTAATCATTCCTGCACAGATCTCAGCAACCTGTTCCATCAATTTAACTCAATACATTACAGTTCTGGCATTGGTTTAAATACCTGCCCTGTAGCCATTTGAAAGGGGGTGTATCTGGTATTAGAATGGATAGCATTGTTATATGCCTCCAGCAAATCACAGGAGGTTGGTCCAATTGTCCTGTTGATAGTTAATAAAACACCTAAAGTATTGTTCTAGAACTGGGTTTGTTTGTTCTGTTCCCCCCATTTGTTTGAGGATGATGACTAGAACTCAAGCCCTGTTCTGTGCCCAAAAGGTCCAAAAAGGACCATCTCCCCTTCTTCCAGCTGCCTCGAGTGAATGTCACTCAGTGGGCTTTTTCTTCCACTCTTCTCTTTTTCCTACTCTATTTCTTAATATTACTCAATATTTCTTCCATTTTCTCACTCAGATCATTAATAAAAATGTAGAGGAGCACAAACTGAACATTGAACATACTAGTCAATTTTTGTTTCCATTTTGATGAAATGAGCTCTTTTTAAGCCTCAGTTTTGAGATCGTTACAGTATCTATTGCTATCTTTCCTGTTGAAAATTGGCTGCCTTTTATTTCCGTTTCAGACTATTGTCCATCTGGTGAAGTGGAATGGAAATATGCCTTCTTTGACCAAATTTTTCTCTGCCTCTCAGCATCTGCTGTCTGAAATATCTCAAATATTTCAGTTTATGTCATGACAGGGCTGGCATTCATTCCAGCATTGATAAACTGAATTATATTTCTGTAGCATTTTATTCTTGTGTTTTGCTGGCTCCTATAAAATAATGTACATATACAGGTAGTCCTCAACTTACGACCACAATTGAGCCCAAAATTTCTGTTGTTAAGTGAGACATTTGTTAAGTAAGATTTGCCCCATTTTACGACCTTTGTTGCCACAGTTGTTAAGTGAATTACTGCAATTGATAAGTAGTAACCTGGTTGTTAAGTGAATCTGGCTTCCTCATTGACTTTGCTTGTGAGAAGGTTGCAAAATGGGATCACATGACCTTGGGACACAGTAACGGTCATAAATATGAACTACGTGCCAAGCAGCTGAATTTTGATCACATGATCATGGGGATGCTGCAAAGATTACAACTGTGAAAAACGGTCATAGGTCACATTTTCCAGTGCATTGTAACTTTGAATAGTCACTAAACAAACTATTGTAAATCGAGACTACTTGTACTTTGAATCTGGAAGAAAAATGTTCTCTAAGAAACCAATTCAATGTAGCCAATGCTATAAAATTGATAATTTGGCTCTTTTTTGCATTGGTAACTGTACGTAGGCATTTTTGACTCTTAATGCAATTATAAAAGAACATATTTTCTTATGATTCTTGTAAATTAGCCATATGCATTGAGGGGTGGGAGTGAGCAAAAGATTAAATATGTATGGTGCAAACATGTAGTGCAGGCATGTGAATTAAATATTTGTGTCCAACACTGGGATGCAAGTACAAAAATGGTGATGTCATTTTCTTATTTTTTCATCACCACCAGTCATATTATTATTATTACCAATATATAGAAAGAAGAAAGGGTGAAGAGACAAATATAGCATCAATACTTTGGATCATTTTTTCAGGATCATCAGACTACTAGATTAGTTACAAAGTACAAAATTGTAGCAAGATATTAATAGAGCAGAAGTGAGAGACAGGGTGAATAGATCAGCTCTCTGATGAATATTATAGGAAATATATCACATATATTTGTAGAATCCAATTCCACATCCATATTAGGTTCACATAGAGATCCCTGCTGCTTTCAATATTTGGAAAATGTGCAGTTTTCATAAGTGTGTTTACTTTCTCTCTCTCTCTCTCTCTCTCTCTCTGTTTGTGTGGATTATAGTGCATATACCTTGTCAAAATCAAAGCCTTTAAACATAATTTACCCATTTGAAAAGTAGTTTATAGGACGCAGATGAATCTTCAGGTACAGAGATATCAGCTATAAAATATAATAAACCAATCAAACCAACTATATTTTACTTATTTTTTTAAAAAAAGATTAATTAATACTTTTAAAATGTATGGTTAGGTCTTAAATAACAGGCTACCTCATTTTTATTTATATTGCAAAAGGAACCTAAATCAAAAACAACATCTTTTTTAAAAAATAGGGTACATATATTGCAAAAAATTGATTAGCACTACAGAGAAAATGCATTGATCAAGGAAAACTGGCTATTGAGGAAATGAAGAAATGAGCAACTTGAAATGTAAGCTAGCAAATGAATGAAAAATTGAGTTGTGTGAATCAGTGATTAAAAGTTTATATTTTTCTTCATATACATTGTTTTCCTGTTCCTAAAACTATTTTTGACATTAATGGAAGCTAAATATAAAATTCAGACTGCAAAACAGTCATGGTTAGTTTCTCTCTACCTTTAACAAAATCAACAATTCTATGAGACAAAACTTTTTGTAAAGGATCTGAAATATTGTATGTAATTTTATTTATTATACCAGATTTGTAGAATGAAGCAAATATTTGAAGGAGTTTTTAAAGTTTTTTTTTTTAATTCTGACCGACTAAAACTGCAATAAAGTGATGCATACTCTAACGTTATAATATTCCTTGCAGAAAATTTTTAAAAGTTAGGGCATTTAGATTTATTGTATGTTACAGAAGCCTGGTTTCTCTATACCCTCATAAAAGAGGTTCTGAATCATCTTTTTGTGGTGATCTCATATGAGCACTCTAGAAAAAGTGAGCACTCTGGCTGATGATTCAACTAATCATACCTGCATTTTGTCTTATTATGGAAACAAACAAACTGAAATGGGTGGGTCTGATTCTCTTTAATTTTCTAAGTATAATCTATATATTTGACACCAGTAATTGTTGGTTGACATAAATGACTTCTCTGCCCTGTAAATCTCTAGCATTCAGCTTATCTCTCAAAATAATGTTCTGTAAATAATCATTTGAAGAGTACAATATTGTTGACACTTCAAGAACAAAAGGGCACAACTGAAACCTCTTTGTAACTTTAATAATACTTTAAAAAAGGAGACTTCCGGTCTTGCGCAGTAGTGCAGCAGCCAAGGGATTTCGGGGCTCTGTGCCCTTTGGCTGAATTTCTTCCTGTTAGGGGACCCTAAATGGACCAGAAGCTGCCCCAAAGAGGTAGAAAAGAAAGAAGGAAGTCCCGTGGACCACAGAGAGATGGCAGTTGACCCAATTGATCCAGGAGAAGACTTCCAGAAACCAACAGGAGAAAGGCTACCCTAACTTCAGAGTCTAGCCCAAGCTACAAGCAACCGAAGTCAAAAAGCACTATTTTAAGCTGATTGTAAACAGCACATTTGAATCTGGGCAAAATTATCGATTTTCTCTATCCTACTTATTAACTCTCCTAGGGGAAAAAAATTCCCAAGAAGCAAAAAAACCTCCGAACGTGAGTAAATAGTAAACAGAAGCGGAGAATTAAACCTTTTATGGAGGACCAAAACATACAGAAATAAAATGAAATGAATATAAAACCTAAATTTGGATAAGTTTGGAATTGTTGAATGGTTAAGATTCTCATTTTAAAGGCAATTTTCATTAATTTGAAAAATAAACTGGTGCTGACATCTAGTGGTGGATAAAGACTATGATAAAAAGACCATGGCTTTTATACAGGACTTGGCAAAATATGAAAAAAACTAATCTATGCTTGTGACATTCAAAGATATAACACTAGAGAACAGCTGTGACAAAAAAGAAAACAATTTGGGTTGCAGACAAAGAGAGGATTATAAACTTCAGGAAACCTTTTTGAACCTTTTTGGATTATAAATATCTACTAAACTGTGACTCTAAAGGTATTTGCAGAGAAAAGAAAAGCTCAATTCTTTTTTTAAAAGATTTTATTGATTTTTTTTCTTACATACATATAATAATTTTCAACCAATGTGCTATCATATAAGGAACGGTTGCTAGAATTGGGTATGTCTAGTTTAACGAAGAGAAGGACAAGGGGGGACATGATAGCAGTATTCCAATATCTCAGGGGCTGCCATAAAGAAGAGGGAATCAAGTTATTTTCCAAAGCACCTGAAGGCAGGACAAGAAGCAATGAGTGGAAACTAATCAAGGAGAGAAGCAACCTAGAACTAAGGAGAAACTTCCTGACAGTTAGAACAATTAATCAGTGGAACAGCTTGCCTCCAGAAGCAGTAAATGCTCCAACACTGGAAGTTTTTAATAAGAGACTGGACAGCCATTTGTCCGAAATGGTGTAGGGTTTCCTGCCCGAGCAGGGGGTTGGACTAGATGACCTCCAAGGTCCCTTCCAACTTTACTATTATTATTATTATTATTATTATTATTATTATTATTATTATTATTATTATTATTATTATTATTATTATGGATCATTGCACAGTCAGCCAGATGTTCATACTGGATTTGGCATTTTGTCTACCTATCGAGTCCTTACCCAGGACCTGGGATAGGCAGATGTGGATGTTTGATGGTATTACAGATATTGTCGCAGGATGAAAGCAGTTCCTAGTAAGGCCGCCTTTTGCAATTGACTAATAGCGAATTTGTCAATGCCAATGTGTTCAAGTGGTGCTCCAGTTGTTTTGGGATTGCACCCAAGGAGCCTATTACTATTGGTACTACCTTTGCTTGCTTTTGCCACAGTCTTTCTATTTCTATTTGTAGGTCTTTGTATTTTGCTATCTTCTCCAGTTCTTTCTCGTCTATTCTGCTGTCTCCAGGCACTGCCACGTCCACTATCCAGACTTTTTGTCTTTCTTATCGACAATTGTTAAGTCTGGGGTGTTATGTTGCAGGTGCTTGTCTGTTTGAATTCTGACGTCCCAGAGCAGTTTAATTTTATCATTTTCTATGACTTTCTCTATTTTATGATCCCACCAGTTTTTGCTTACAGGCAAATGATATTTTTTGAAGATCTTCCAATGCACAATTGTTGCTACTTTGTCATGCCGCTGCTTGTAATCAGTCTGTGCAATCTTCTTGCAACAGCTTACCAAGTTGTCCACTGTTTCTTCAGCTTCTTTGCATAGGCGGCACTTACTGTCTGTTGCTCTCTTCTCAATTTTGACTTTGTATGCATTTGTCCTTTAGGCTTGGTCTTGTGCAGCCAGAATTAGTCCCTCGGTCTCTTTCTTCATTTTCCTGCGTCTAGCATTGCAGGTTTTATTAATTATCTGCTTTCCCCGCTATTTTTTTCATGTAGTGGCCAGGGTAGTGCAACATTGTCTTCCCATGCCTCTATTCTGTTCTTCAGTTGGTCTTTCTTGTAGGCCAGTTTGGTCTCTCCAGTAGTCAGTAAGCCTTCCTGATATACTAATTTCAGTGCATCTTCATCATTGTTCTTCAGATATTCTTCCAAAGCCATGTTTTCTTCTTCAACCATCTGATGTACTTGTAGCATTCCACGCCCACCTATTTGCCTTGGTAGATAAAGTCTATCAATGTCACTGCGTGGATGAATGGCATGATACATTGTCATTATTTTTCTGGTCTGCCTATCCATTGCTTTTAGTTCTGCTTGAGTCCAGTCCACTATTCCAGTTGTGTACCTAATGACTGGAATTGCCCAGGTGTTGATTGCCTTTATGGTATTTCCTCCATTGAGTTGGATTTTTAAAGATCTTCTTCACTCTCTTGATGTAGTCACCTGTAATTCTTTTTTCTGACTTCAGTGTGCTTGATGTTGTCAGCTTGAAGGTATACCCAAGTATTTTGTAGTATTCTCCTCATCCAGACTCTTAATGTTATTTTCGTGGGCATCTTGATTTCTTCATTTCACTATTTTTCCTTGTTTGAGAGTAAGTGTGGCACATTTGTCCAAGCCAAACTCCATTACAAGATCTTGGCTATATATACGGACAGTGTTGAGCAGCGATTCTATTTCAGATGATGTTTTTCCATACAGCTTCAGATCATCCATATAAAGGAAGTGGGATAGTCTGGCAGATGTTTTTGATGTTTGATAGCCATGTCCTGAGTTATTCAGTATTGTTGACAGAGGAAACAATGCAATAACAAATAGTAATGGTGATAATGAATCTCCTTGAAATATTCCTCTCTTGATATTAACCTCTCCCAGCTTTTCACCCTTGATCTGCAACTGTGTCTTCCATTGTGCCATCGATTTTTGCACAAATTTTCTGATGTTTCTACTTACTCCTGTTATTTCTAGGCACTTGATTATCCAATCATGTGGCAGAGAGTCAAATGCCTTTTTGTAGTCAATCCATGCAACATTCAGGTTGGTCTTCCTTCTCTTGCAGTTTTCCAAGATCATTTTGTCTATTAGGAGTTGATCTTTTGTTCCTCTGCTGTTGGGGCGGTTTCCTTTCTGCTCATGTGGAAAGAGATTGTTTTAACTAGATGCTGTTGTACTACTGCAATCATCTTACCACCCAGTTAGTAATTTTAATGTTGTTGGTAAGCAGGTAATTGGCCTGTAGTTACCTGGTGTTGCCCCTTTTTTGCTGGATTTTTCATTATTAGGTATTTTTCCCAGTTGTTAGCCACTTTTCAATTTCTCCTCCTTGTCTTATATTGTTGAATTTGCTTGGCAATGAGTGGGGTGTATACAGTTGATTGGTTCAACCAAAACCTGCAGTTCATCTTCACCTGGTGCTTGACCAATTTTTGATTTTCTTTGCCTTTTTTCTACA